GTCGTCGTCGTCGTCGTCGCAGTAGTTCAGAGGTGGGACCGAGAATCTGAGAAGCACGAAGTTGTCGTCTCTTGCAACATCCGTCAGGAGTGGTGGTGCGCTTTTCGTGAAGACTACTTGCAACGATTCTGCCGGCTCGTCATCCTGACACCGGCCGGAACCCTTGCTCGACTCGGCACGCATCTCTGCGTGTCCATTCGCTCTGGAGGTGGGCCCCATCGTTGTAGACACTGCCCAAGCTTTATCGTCACAAGACCAGGATTCCGCCAAGAATTTGCCTCTCGTTCCAACCTGCATAAATCTAGTTTAACCTTGTTGCACCAAGTGGTTTATTCCAAGGCTTGGACGCAGCGGAACACCATATGTCACGAGGAACCTTTTGTGTCTCGAAGTGGCTGTCCGTCGAGCATGCTTTCAGCCAACAGATTGCATGCAAGATTTGGACGATGCTTGCCGCTATGAAAGCGTCGAGGCAGCTCCTGTTTGTGACTTCATGTAGACATGCCCCGCGGCCGGCCAGGAACAGGATGCTGGTTTGGTCTCTACATGCCCGTTCCTTGGTGTCGCGCTCTTAAATGAGACAGTTTATAGATGCGCTCATTTCTGTGCTTTGCCGTGACATTGCCGTGTCACATGACAGGACCTGATATAGGTGACTCGTCAGCATGCGAGAACGGAGTGAGTGGCAAGCGAGAGCCAGGCGCGAACAACGCTTGCAAGCACTGTCAGTCGAATTGCGACGAAGTGTACATGAGCAACAATCAAGAGGCGCACCGCCTCCCGAGGACAAATCCTCGCCGCTCCGGTGCATTGTGCCCAGATTGCACAGCAAGTATTGCAGGACTGGCAAGATGAGTTGCTGGATGAAGCAGTGAAGGCAAGATCATTTCTCTTGTCTGTTTCACTTTGACACCCAAGCAAACCCTGCCTCGCAGTGTGTCAGGACGCAGAGGCAGAGGCGAGCATTGGCCTCTGGATGCACATTCTATGGTGTGCTCAGCTTAGCTCGGCAGCTTGGTCTTTTGCGACCGGGAATCTCCGTGCAAGTCAGGGTGACGTTTGCCGCTGCGGAAGCGGCGCACGCCGATGGCGCCGCAGTCTCCTCGGATCTAGGTGATGTGACAATCATGTAAGCCACGCGTGGCTTGCTTGCATGTAGACGTCGCAGTTGCGCGTGTTATCTGCTCTATCCTGCCAGGCTGCCAGCTGTGTGCAAGCCCCCTGCTCGGCACATTCCGCTTGCCTTTCCGCCGCCAACACCCCCTGTTCTCCGCCCCAGCTGGCGCGCCTTCGGCCTTGAACGATGGGAAAGGCTCTCCCTCTCTGCAAGCGATTCATGCGCAGTTGCCCGAATCAAGCAAGCCGTGGCAGACTACCTAGCGAGCCACAACCAGCACAGAGCTTCGCAAGATGCCGCAGCGCTGCGTGCCGGGTGTTTGGTCAGTGCAAGTATTACCGTCGCGCTTTCCACATGGGCTTGTAGTCTTCCATGACCCGACTCGCACAGTCCTAACTGATGAGGTAGATATGCGCCCAAGACTGGCTATGGAGCCAGATGTTGCTTCCGTTCCCTGCTGTGCCACAATGCTGAGATATTCGGAGCCTTTGGTTGCAGAGCCAGGTCACTTTGAGCGACTTATTCCGTGCATGCATGCAGGTCCGCATTTCGCTTCACCTCGCAATCAGCCGCAACCAGCCACCTCCTGCGCCGTCCACAGTCTGCCGTGCCCGGTGAACCACCTGCAAGTGCTCTTCCACACGTACTCGCGGGAGTACAAGATATGTTTTGCATTCTGTGTGTGACATGGGTGTTAGTCCCTCTTGAGCTTCTGAAGCTGCGCAGCAGCATTCTCTGGATGTCAATGCAGCGCTCGACTTTGTGCAGTGCCCACAGCAGCCCTTCGCGGCGGCTTTCCTGACTTCTCAGTTGTTGGTGTAGAGTCCTCAGGAGAATCGACTCTGCTTGCCCCTCCAAGCTTGCCGCTCGGCCAAGGAACGCCAGTCAGCAGTGATGTAGCTAGCTTTCCTCGCCCAAGGCACGCGTCCGCCTCTGAAGACGAGGACGCTGAGATGGCATTGGATGATTCACGTCAACACTTCTGTGATGATCTGAGAGACCATGCAAGTTTAGGTCGAAGCCCTGGTTCCGAGAACACAGAGACGGCAACCACGCCGCCCAAAGAGACGCAACCGTGTATTGAGTGGCCTGTCCCAGTCGAGAGTCCAAGCTGCTCTCAGCAGGTAAGAGATGCCATGTTGCATGGACTCACACTTGCCAAGTTGCAGCAATGGGAAGAACAAGCTTGCAACGCCCCGCCGCCGGGCTGCTACCCAGGTATCCGCAGTCAGAGCACCTCGGATTATAACGCCCATGTGCGCATCTCCATTATGTCCGGGTGCGCCTGTCTACTCAACCGCACTGCCTCCTGCTTCAACATGACCTTGCCAGTGCCGCTCAGTATGGCTGCAACTCGCGTCGCTGCAACATTCGCAGCATTGCAATACGGGTTTAGGAAATAGGGTTTAGCGTTTAAGGGTTTAGGGGTTTAGGTTTTAGGGTTTGCGAATTTAAAGTTAGGTTTAGGGTTTGCGAGGGCCTGGTAAAGGTTTTGAAGGACTTCACAAGGGCTTGCAGACTTGTCGTAAGCAGATGGGTTCGTTATAAGGGGTATCCGATCCAGACAGGACAGAACCCCTTGCACAGGTTCCCACCGGTGTGACGGGGGCTGCTATGCGATGCAGGAAAAGTGACAGCCTGCTCGCACGCCGTTGGATTTAAGGTTGGGGGTTTCGGGAGAAGGCTGTTACAGCTCACGGACTTTGCGTCCAGGGAGTGGTGATTTAGCAGTCGGACCCTGCAAAATCCTGCAAAAACCTTTAAAACCGATTGAAACCTAAAGCACACATACCCTAAACCCGAACCCCTGAACTATGGGTCTTCGACCCTATATTACAGAGACCGGAATACTCCCCACTGTTATTGCTCAGGCTTCCTTGTTGTAACTAGAGTATGCCGAAAACCCTATTTTAACGACTAAAGCCCCTGTATGATAGAACCTTGACGCCCTACCAGTAGGTAGTATTGGGAAGACCCCCTCAAAAGGGGACCCTTCTCAACCCTACTTCTGGCTCTCTTAAAGGAGACCTTATTGAGAGGGTCTCTATCGCCAACTCCCAGGATAGTGGAGCCTGAGGGGTTCCTTTGAAGGTTCCTTGAGGGCTTGCTTGAAGGAGTGTGATTCTAACTCCAAAGGCCCCTACTCTTGAGATGTACGATTGGGGCTCTGATGTGGGCAGTGCGTTCGTGTAGAGGTTGGAATATCAAGCAGTAGCATCCGTTAAGTGCCCCTCATTATTTATAGTATAATGTGCCACAAAACCCATGTGGAAATCGGAGTAGTTAGTAATAGTATCCCCGTATAGTCCCGACATAGTTGTACTGTAACCATGAAGGCCCCCAGCCGAAACCCAGCATGCTCTATTTTACAACGTCTTCTTTAAAATCGAGCCGTAAACAAAGCTCCCAGCCAGAACCCTCAACCTCACACCGATTGTTCCGAACTCTCAGCTTGGAACCGGGATCCCGACGGCAGGTGTCGAAGTATTGCGAGACCGCCACCGTGCAGACGCAAGCGCAATGTTCGGGATCACAGAATCCCACGAAACTTCCGGTGCTTCGCAGGCTTGATTCATGGTTTGGGTTAATGTAATCCCTAAACCCCAAACCTTAAACCCTTGTTAAGGTAATGACAAAATGGACTTAGAGGGGTCGTCGTCGAAGACGGACGGTTGCAGGATGCTAGCAAATCTAAAATTGCTAGGCCCCTTTGGCGTAGCAACGTAAACTCGAGCAATTCGCTTGAGCTTCCAGTTTCAAGTGTCGACATGCATCAGCTAATCTAGGAACCTGATAAGAAACCCTGGCCCTATAACCCCAAAATAGCAGGCTTCATATACAGAACCCTAACAAAGACCCAGGGATTCTTAGTCAGGTGGCTACGTTAGCATTGTGTTGATTCCACAAGGAGAGAGATTGGAGTTTTCAGACAAGTCATGAAGTGTCTCGACATGGGCGTTGCCGGTACATCCGAAAGCAACTGAACACAGACGCGGGGGTTCTCTAACTTGGGTTCCCTTCTGAGCTTTCTGATTGGAAAGGCGGCACCTTGCCTGGAGATCAAAAAACATAAGTATTTGTGCTATTATGGAGGCTCCTTCTTACAACTATAGTATACCCCTATTGAGAGAATTGCACAGACACGGAACCCCCAAGGCATCCAGGTTTCAGTCGGCCTCGTCTTCCAGGCTAAAACGAAGCCGATCTTTCGATCCTCCGAATTCGGATTCTCCTTCGTAATATAGGGGCCTTAACAATTAGAATAGGGTTTTGGGCCCCATTATACAACACTTATAATAAGGAATCTAGGTAATTATTAAGACCCCTACATTAAGGGTTTGGGGTTTTATGTTTGTCCCAGAGAGCTTTCTTGAGTGATGTGAGAGAAAGGTCGCGATTGGGTGGACACGGCCCTGGCCCGTTTGGAGACGCTGGCCGTCAGGCCGGGTTCAGGATTCAGGGTTTACCTTAACCCCGAAAATGCTACTTTTATAAAGACGTATGTACGGAGATCATATAAGGAGCCCTACATGTTTAGGGACTTATATTTTACAAGGAAATCAGAATAAGGAGCCGCAAACTCGTAGGCTTTAGCGGATTCAGGGTTTAGGGGCCGGTCAAACCCAACGAGACCCGAGTCTCCTTTGTTCCGGCGACTTGTCGAGGGTTTAGGGTTTAGGGTTTAGGGTTTAGGGTTTAGGGTTTAGGGTTTTTGGGAGTTCTGTAGTTTCTTCCCTTGGGCCTGAGTTTGTGTCGAGGTTTCATCTCAGGGTATGCTGTGCCATCGATGCTGATGCAGCAGCCTTCACATGCAAGACCCAGATGATTATAGGATCCTTAAGGGAGGGTGGCTCAAGGGCGGAGGGTCCTAGGGATCCCTAGGGAGCTTTAGGGAACCTAAGGGAGTACTAAGGAGAATTGGGGATTACTGGGTTATATACCCCCCTTAGAACCCCCGCCCTTAAGGATTCCATAAGATGAGGCAAATTTCCTAGAAGTGAGCTGCAAGGCCTGCAGTCTGAATGCAAGACCAGAGCCCTTTGGTGCCATCGAGGCTTACTGGAGCTTAGCAGGGACATCAAAAAAAGAACCCTTCTACTAACCCCGATGAGCTCCTCCTTAAGCGCTCAACCATGGATGACTTCCTCTAATGCTAATTATGTTATATACAGATGTATATATATATATATAATATATACATACATTAGATACATTATATTATACACAAACATACATACATAAATAAATAAACACTCACACACACACAAATATATATAGTTATATATTACCATATTCTATCTGTACAAGTGTCCGTGGTTCCTCACGTAACAGCACAAGATTATGTCAGCTCTGCTTCTACTTGAGGGCACGTGGTGGCCGGCTCACTTCACCATCCTAGCATCTCCAGAGCAATGCCGTGCGCGGACTCGAAACTCGCAAGCCCTTTCATGTCCCTAAACCCTAAACCCTAAACCCTAAACCCTAAACCGAATATGGGGGGAACCCTGCAGCTGAAGAGCTGTCCGAAGTAGCAAGGAACCCATACTTATGGCACATCAGAGTCTCTGGGCCCTCATAGCCTTCACCTTGCGGGAATGTGTTTGGGGTTCCTAAGCCCCTGGACCGCTAAATCGTGATCCCGTAAGCCCTAAATCCCAAACCCTCGACCCTAATCCCTATAATCCTGGACCCTATAAACCCTAGATACCATGCAGGCCTTAAGCCCTAGACTCAAAGCCCCTTTGTGCTTCGAGGACTAGAGAGCAGTTGGGTGCCTTCGCAGAGGAATTGCCCTTTACGGTGCGGAGGTGGGCAGTGGATAGCCATCAAGTTTAGAGTTCAGGGTCGTGACTGATTTTCGTTTCCATTAGGGTGCCTGCAGCAGCAAACACCACTACTGCAACTACTTCTGCTTCTCCTGCTACTGCTACCATGATGACTACGACTGCTACTGCTGCTACCACTACTACTACTACTACTACTACTACTCCTCCTGCTGTTGCTTCTGCTACTATTACTGCTGCTACCACTACGACTACGACTACGACTACGACTACCGCTACCACTACCACTACCAATACCACTACTACTACTACTACTACTACTACTACTACTACTACTACTACTACCACTACTACACCACTACTACAGCGACAGTTGGATACAGCGGGATGTGTCGACGAGGGCGACGCTACTTGATTGGTTC